TCCTTGAGTTCACAGATAGTCCCAGTCCCACAATGCTGTCCATCCAGCCCAAAGATGAGCACTAGATTAATTAAAATTCTTAATTTATTGCAATTTTATTGCATTCTGAAAACGTTTTGTCTGTGCATTGCTGAGAAAATCTTCTCGAATGCCTGAAAGCTCTAAAAATGTGCTGCCCTGTAACTCACTACTGCTGCCTATTTTAAAAGAAAAACCAGTCTGCAGGACCAAATGGAGAAGCTCTTTGTTCCCTCTCTTCACTGTTAATGGTGGTACTCAGAAATAAGCAAAAAAATGCTTCTAAACATTTTTTTAAGTATAAAAGGGAATAAGAAACTAAGTTATGTAAATCCATGTGCATTTTTTAAACTTCATTGTGTTAGCTAGGAATTTTCTTAGTAGAATGGGCAAATCTTGAGTGCTCAGCTCATATGGAAATTCTATCTATGCAGGCAAACAATACAATTAACACTCATAGGACTGATTTGTCGTAAGCTTTTACGGTTCTGCATGCAGCATTATTAGAATCAGTTGTACTTCTTGTTTGATAGGTAGCGTTGGAATGGTGACACTCAAAACAATGTACATTTGGAAAGCTTTTGACCCTAGAAATAACAGCTATCTAAGAGAAGTTTGTTGTGGGAAGTATCATATCCTTTCAAAATAAGTGATTGTTAGCAAGCTTATAATTCAACCTCTGTATAGCAAGAAATCATGAATTGTAAATTTAAACTCTCATTTTCTCTAGAACATCGGTTTAACTATATCTCCATTTATGATTTAAAGCTTTGTGTCGGTATACAAACCAAGTCAAAATCACAGAAGTGGCATTTGTCCCAGTGATTCCTCCCAATCTGTCTAAAACCATCTGTTTTTGCTACATGTTCCCTTGCACCCAGGAGCTCTGATTTCGACAGCAATGTATTTCCAATGCTGACGTGAGAGGAACTAATCCGGCCATTTGGATGCACACTTTGCTATCTCGGTGTCGCTGTCATACATCACAGTGTCTGAGATAGCAAAGAACAATAACAACAGCAAATACAAATGCATCACAACAAAATGGTATATTTATGGTCTGTGTACATGCATAAGTCAGCTGCACAACCATCTCTGGCCTCCACTCAGAATTCATTTATATGGAATGAATCAGCTTCCGATCATTCACAGCAAGATTGGCTTCCAACAGAAAGGCCTACGGATACAGAGCCTCCCGACCAGAAATACAGAGTCACAGTCCAGAAGCAGACATACTCAACCTACAAGACTATTTATATGGACAAAAAACCCCGTAGCTTCTTAAATCACAAAGCTTTCTTTTGCATTCATATTCTTTTTATTATGTATAAGAAAGCTTTCATAAGATTTCCTCTGATATTCCTAAACAATGGCACACTGAACACTTCTAGCTCAAGAAGTCCTTCCTCTCATAAAGTTCCTGAGCTGCAAATTGTTGGATGTGAAGAGAGAATTACTATGTTTGTCCATTTGCTATACTCTTCCCCTGGCATTCATGTTCAGCCACCTCAGCCACCCACCACAGGGTACTAGAATCTATATATCATCATGCAGCTGCTCACATATTCTTATACATGCAGTATTTTTCTAATTTTTGTATCTACGAGGCTCATTCTCATTCTCTTACTCTCAGAGAAGTTTGTTCTCTCTCTTGTGCATTTTCAGTAATACAGTGAAGTCATGAAGAATGAAATAAAAACAATTTTACAGAAGCCATGAACGACGATTTTCACACAATCTGGATAATACACTACTGCAAGCCCTGCCTATGATGCATTTCCTACCCTATTTCTATTAGGTTTTCATAATTTAAAGTAGAAGAATGACTCATGTACCGTGCTGCCATGTTTTGAAATGCTATATGAAAATGAAATCTGATGTTTATCAAACTGTTCCTCTTATCTCTAGGATTTGATGGTGTTGCTGCTCTCTCTGTAGATCCTTTTGGCATGGTAGGTTAAGTCCCTGCAATGTTTCAGCGTGTTCTCTCCTACATAAATCTCATTCTTTCTGACCATTCTACACCCATCTGTAATTTTCCTGTGTTTTTGTTCGTGTTCAGATCACTTCTTTGACCACAACACAATCTATGTACAGCACAAATATTCTGCTTACTCTTCTACATCACTACGAAAGGAAACAAGTAAGGAAGAAACTAAAATAATCTGTGCTCCCCCACTGGTGAACTGTATTTTTATCTACTATGTTAAATAGTCCAGTGATGTCAATACCAGTACCTACACCAACACCTGTCTCTTCCCACTTCCTAGGCTTGAGGATGGCACTGACAGGCAAGAGGGAGGAGAGGACTAGGTAAGCTGGGCAGAGATGGAAGACACGAAAACAGCTGAACTTTTCTAGGGCAGTGGATATTCACAGTATCACAAGTTGCATCAAGTTCCTCTAAGACAACAAGCATCACTCAATCCACATTCTGCTGTTGGAGAGAAATCAAGGTCATCCAATATCACACAGAAATTATCCATACACTCAGGATTGTAAGGAATTCTAAGGTTTTGCTTAGAAGGCCATTCCAATTTGGGGCAGTATTTACACAAGTGAAAAAAAAGAAAATTTAAATCCTTAAAACTGGTCATCTTGAAAATGGCTAAACTCAAGCACGGGACTAAAAACTTTCCTGCGGAAGATCCTAACCACAGAGCAAATCACTATCTGTATTCCTATTTTGGAATCAGTATCACTATCTGAATTCCTAATCAAATTCACTGATTTTGATTCTAAGTAGTAGAAACATAAGTGCCTAGAATTTTTATTTCTCATAATCTTATGCTGCTCATAAGTATATACAATTTATTTTTCCCCAGTATTTTCCTTCCTTTTGAGCAACAACTATTCCTGTGTTGTAAAAAAATAAGAATATTCTTCACTTCAAGAAGTGAAGAAACAATATAAGTGTCTAAAGAAAAAGTTTCTAATAAGTAGTGAAATAAGCACAGAAAAAATATCATCCAAACATCTGTCTTGTACAAAACTGAAACATTGTAATGTCATATTTTAAAATACTTATATAGATAGGAAATTGGAGCATCTCTTTATGATGTAAATATTTTTTTAATATATGATTTAGCAGGTAATGGACTGTGCTTGTAAGCAATTGTCATTGAGATCTTAGGTCAGTCAGTTATCCATAAATTAATAGATTATTTCCTACTATGATGCACCAGTCACTAAATATAAGAAATGTAGAATTCCATTATTTTTAATTAGCACATGCTCCCTATTACCTCCAGATAAAATAACTCTGAAAACTGTTTATATGTGGTACTTAAGTGGTTGAAAGTATTAAATGAAAATTTATAATTTCAAAACAACAAGATCTTTAAAATATTTGAAATCTGACAGAAGACAAATACTAGTAGTGAGTTAAAGGTGAAAGGGCATCTTGAATATAGTACAATTTGTCTCCAACATGATTTATAGACCCAGCCTGAAACCTGATAGTAAAAAAAATACAGTTTTTCATTGAGGTGCCTCAGGTCTGCAAATCTCATTACTGTCATTTCTTTTCCATCTCTTAAATTTAATAACATTTATTTTTAAAGGACAAATAAACATTGACACACATATCCAAAACAGCAGTATCATCAGAGCACAAACTTCTCATGTACTCATTATATTGCTTTAAACATAGAATAAATATTATATAAATACAAAAATTTATTCTTCTAAATACTGAAATTTCTGTTTTGAAATAAGAAGTATTTCTTATCAAAAAAAAAAAAAAAAACAAAAACCAAATGGAACTGATTTTATTGATCAACAGTATCTTTAGGACACAGCTCCAGGTAGAATTTTCAACTCTGTCTACAACATTTAAAATTCATGTTCTAGTTTAAAGTATTACATTTGAATTTAACTTGTCTGAGTGAAAAAAAACCCAAACAAAACAGCCCACACCAAATTTCTTTAATAGCTGGTAAGAGGAATAAATGTTTTAGGCCTAGAGATACGTCAGCATCCATAAGATAGTATGTGTCTATTTTATTCTGTAAAATGTACCGTGCAGATGCAAAGCATTTAGGGTGAGAAAGATAGATTAGTTAAGACAAGAAACATTACTTTATTAGGTAAATGATGCCTTGGAGATATTCTAAAGTAAAGCTTTTGTGCATGTTCTAAAAAGAAATGTTAAAAAGCAAGGCCAAAAATCAGAACAGATGTTATAAATATGTTCAGTGATATATCTTTACGTATAAATTCAAGTTTGAAGTAGGAATGATGTCAGAAACAATAGACAAATGGATCCAATTTTCTGACATTAAGACAGGATGTGCAAAAGTCACAAAAGGTAAAATAGAGTTCTCCAACATCCCATCTGTTTTTATGATGATTAAAATTACTATTTAACATTGATATTGGCACAGCAAAATTGGCACAGCTCACTAAGGGATTTCTGCACATGGGTAATAACCACTCTCATCCCTTCAGGTCTTTCCCTATGACTATCAAAACTGTAATGCTTTAAAGTAAATGTGCCAGAGGCACCTTTTCCACAACATTAAGAACATGGAGACAACACACAGTATCATTTTATGATACTGTGGAGAGCAGCTGTGTATCCTGTCCCTGGGAGGCAGACTGGCTAAACCATTCATAATGTCCCCAGGGAATAGTGCTGTTTAGCCTATTTGCATTTCCCTACCACAGATTCTGTCTTTTAATCAAGGACACAATTTCTATTCCTTTCATTCACATATGCTGAGATACAGAGAATAACCCCATGCCTTGGTCAGTCCCTCTAAACCAGCTGTAAGGAATCAACTTTTAGAAGACTTCAGTTTGTATTCCTGTGGACAAAGTAAGAGAAGCCCAATGGGGCATTTCATTTTCCAGTCAAAATATCAATGTGCTCAACTTCAGAATATCTCAAGAAAAATATTTTGGTCTTCCAACGAAATAAAATTATCACACAATTTGTAACCAACATTTTAGTATGTAACATTAAAAATACAAGTACTCACAGTAGCATGTTCCCCTAAGTGGATTTCCAAGATACCTATTTTCAGAGTCACAGCTGCAGGGGGAAAAAAAAGACAAAACCAAACGTTCCCATTAAACATTGTATAACTTTAATAAAAATGTACCTAAAATATTTATTCAAATAGAATGGGTTTCATTAGTAGAAGCACAAATGCATGCAAATAGAAATTATTTTATACAGTTGTTAATTAGGATGTGCTACTTCCTGGAGACACCAGAGTGACCAGGCTCTTGAATAAGGAACTCCAGTCATATGCCTTAAGTCAGTGCCTATGGTAGGACTTAGCACAGGCATGTATGAATAAAGGAGAGCCAGACAGCTGGATCCAAGCACTGAATCTCTTTATCCCTGTAACCTCAGTGATAGTTTCCTCCCTCATCTGGTTTTGATCTGGCCCTCCCCAAGATAACAGCTGAGCATCCACCAGAAGGATCACTGACTTGCAGAAAGTGTTCCCAAATATGTCCCCCTCCAACATACACTACTAACTCTTCAAACAAAAACAAAAGTAACATCATAATAACAGAGAAAAACCAACAACAACAAACCAACCCAAAGTATCCCCATAGCATAAAATATTTAATATATTTCCACAGCACCACAGAGGACCTAGGGGGGATCCAGAGCTATGCTGTCTTTTCTAGAGAGGCTGCTCCTAAATTATGCAGCTGCAACTAGACCATGGAACCGGGCTCTGGGGCCAGGAATTGTAGCCAGAACTATGGCACACAAGTACAGCAGTGTCTCAGCTACTCAGCTCGATGAACTTCAGAAACAATTGCTCCCCTTCATCAACCACCCAGGGCACCAGGTGAAATTTAAATTGAATACAATACACCGATGCTGCTGACAAGATGTACACATAATAAAAGCTGAAGAAATAGCTTTCTTATTGATAAGATATATAGCTCTTTTCAGAGAGATGACATATCCTACACAAATTCAGAGTGGTCAAATTCAGTTATATAATATTACTCTAAAAGCATCAAGTATCTCAATAGAAAATGATTAACCTGCTTTTGGTTTTCTTGGCTATTTCACAGAAGTCTCCAGCAAGATTATAGTTTTCTATTAAATATACAGAATGATTCATTAAACAAAGAGAAAGCTAATCCCTGCCTATTAAATTTCATATAAATATTTTCCCAGAGGTAATCTGAATCATTTAATATCTTGGACTACCTTTTCATTACTTTATTCTAAGAAACTTAATTTGCGAGGGTTTTTTTACGTTATTTTATTTGTGAGTAATATTAAAAATACCTTCCAAATTGGATGTCATATAATTTAACAAGTTGCAGACTGTACTGTAATGTTTGCATTTCTGCTGGTCTCCTCAATAGCTTCCAACTGGTGATTCTTAATGTGCTGATATTTATTAATAAGCACATAATCTCCCTGACCCTTTGTTACAATGCCATAAAGAAAATAATCAACAGTAGCACTAAAATGGAAAAGTGGAAAAACAGATGTTCTAGATTCTGACCTTGCCCACTCTCGATCTCACACGAGCATGAGAATTCTTTGCAGGGTCAACTATAAAGAAATACAACACTTTTTGAATATAATTATTTTAATAATAAATCTCTAAGAAATAGAAACAACCCTGTGCTTCAAGTGTAACTGCAGCACACAACTTATAGTCTTGTTCATAAAGACACTCCAGCCCTACAATCCTTTCCACAGAATTTAGAAGAGGGTCTGATCCCAAAGGAAGTTTCTTGCATGTACTTGGAAAGGAGAAAATCATCTCAAGTAATAATATTGGTCTTCTTGAAATAGGTTTTTTCTAAACATCACAAAACACTAACAAAATTCTTGAGAGAACAGCTTGCTACTCAAATAGATTAGGTTTCTAAAAATAGTTTAATGTCTGAAAGTGTCTTTAAGGTTTGGAATTCTGAAAGACAGCTAAGGGAAAAGGACCATTTTCGAATGAAGAGCTTAAAAGAATTTCCTTTTCTTGTATGTAAGATTGTCACATAAATGAGACACTATATTACATAGTAAATTACAACAACATGATAGAGAGGAATGTAAGAGGAATATTTTTTTTCTGAATTGTTTCAGAGGCAAAGTAGAACGTTAAATGCAGGCAGAATTCAGAATATGTTTGGGGTTTACACCTGAAGACAAAAAAAATTGAATTAAAAATAACTGCATTTAGAGTCTGAGGATGAAGGCAAGAAACTTACCCTACTGCTCAGTGCTAACGGTAATGATCTATGGAAGAGCAATATCCAACTCTCAGTAACAATAAGCTGCACAACTTTCCATAGGGAGAAACTAAATAAATTCCACCGAGAACTCTTGGCCAGCTACACCACTCACCTGTGGTGATTTGACCCAGGGACTAAATGACTTTTTTTTTTTTTTTTTAAATCTTGAAAATCTTTATGAAAAAAAGACACCTGTTTCCATATAACTTCCCTTCTCCATTCAGCTGCACTTCTAATCAGATGAAACCACCTGCTGTGGATCAATAATTACCAGAACCCAGGGATTTCCCAAATCACATATACCTTTTTGGTATTTTTATTTCTATTCATATCACAGCAAAAAACCCCAAGCATGAATACATAAAATAAAAATATCTGTAAATTCCATCTAATGCATCACAGGTTTCACAATTTACAAGAACACACAAAAGAATGGTTAATACAAAAATTACTAGGTACAAAATATTTTGTAATGTACAAGTATTCATAAGTATTCATTCAAATCCAAATAATTACTAATCCCTGACAATTATAGAAGTGACCTTCAAATATCTTGAAAATAAAATGGCAATGTAATTTTAGAGTCAGGCATTTCAGTTGTTTCAGCATAATGTATGATGAAATGATAAAATATGCATAATAAAAAAGAACAGTGAATTAAACCACAGCAAATTATTTTGATATATTATCATATATATTATATTCTCTGTGTTGGGAGCCTCATGGAAGTAACAGTACTCAAGGAGGTGGTGATCTTGGGTAAGGCATGTCTGACCTACTGGTCCTGGAAGGCCCGATGCCAGCCTGTGCTGTGTGCTGGTATTATCCAAGAGAACCTTCCAGCTTGTCAGGAGAAGATACATGGCTGTGTTTGCACCCAAGAGAAAAGGCATCATGATATGGGAGGGAGGAGGCCCCTTTCTCTGGACAGAATCTGTACAGCACACTGGTGGAAAATCCATCCTGGGTCCATCCAGTGCTGCATGCACATAGTACCTGAAGCAGCATAAAATTCACCTGCTATTGGTATTCTTTTTATGCCATCTTATTAAAACAGCTGGTTATTATGCCATTTGTTGCCAGACCTTTCATGCAGAACACTTTCATAATGTATATCAGGAATAACATGAGGTGAAGTTCTTACTAGTTAGGGAAGCCTGTTTCAATTCAAATGAAAGATACTATTTAAGCACTCAGTTTTCAGTGGAGGGAAAAGATGAAACTAATAGGATTAAGAATATATCTGAAATTATTCACATGAGCAGGTATGCTGGGTTCTGATTAAATTTAGTTTTGTCTTTTAATCCTATCCTATTTTATTAACATGCCTATTGCTCTGCATTAGTCACTGATTATGGTTCCAATTACAAAATTTCCTATTCGCTGAATTGCTTCCTTAAGCGCTTTACTCATTGTAGTAATTTTTGTACCTTCTCCTAAAACCAGCACACATTTGACCATATGTGAAGCATAATATATGCATCATATCTGAGAAATGGGAGCTACACTCATTATTTTATGTGCCACAGGGCTATGACCATTTGCCTTAAGTGGTAATAATGAATGAGCAGTTCCACTCTGGCATGACTCCAAAGACACAGCTCCCATTTACAAGGACAAATGGAGGAAGGTTCCTACTAGGTTGCATACAAGTTCTATGGTTTGTTCCAATATAAAAGTATTCAATTCATCAGGCTCACTGACCTCTGGATGGCCTGCTATTAACACTTATTCCCCAACCTCTCTCTCAATTATCCTTTCAAAACTGAACCATTTTCTTCCACTCTCTTTTTTTCTCCCCACATTTTCTGGAAGTTCAAAATAAAAGTTATTGACAAATGCATTAAAAAATAATTTTTCTCATGTCTACAACCAAGTGAGTGATAATTTCTTGCTTTCTCTTTCAATACAATAAATGTATGTAAATGAGTACATGTTTACAGTAAGATTTCCAGATTTGGATTTTTTTAGTGAATGAAATGCTCCTTTGTAAGATAGAGTTTACAAATAAACTTCTGTTGAAGCTTAGCAATGTGTATCGTCTTGTGCACTGTATCTGTATCTCACAAACTTAAGAAAGCTAAGGAACTGGCAGCAGGGGAACATATATATGTTTAATTTTATTGTGCTTACTGGTATGTCCAAAGGAAGGGTATACCTTCAGGCTTCTCACCTAAAGAAAACAGTCAGTATAACACCAGCCTGGACCCATGGCTTTCTAGATGAGTGATTTGAACACGTGAAAACCTTCTTATAACAATTCATCTAACCTTTGACAGTGAAGGCAGGACTTTCTGCATTTCTGCTGCCATCACTAATTGGTAAATCCTTTCAATTAAAAGTGAAGCAAAAATAGAGGAACAGGGGAAAAGTAACCTAAGTACAGATGGACTTTCCTCTAACTGAGTTTGTTTTTAATGCCAAACTCTCAGGGAAGGCAAAAATGTATGTCAGACCACTCTAACAGACAATATTTTTTTATTCAACTGGTTCCCTGCTGAGACAGTTTTCTCTTGTTCTGGCCCATACTAAGGTTTGTCAACTATACAAAGTTATAGTATATTAGATAATACAGATATTTATGACCCTTACCTCATATTTTGTCCTTGCAAATTAACAGACCACTTTCATAGTGTCCGGAGAAGAGCTGTCACCTTTCTGATCTATAGGTGGTCATAAACAGGCCTGGGATTTTTGCCCAGGTTCTCAGCGTTTTATCTACAAGAGGTTCCTGATAAATTCAGACCAATGGACTGCTTTAGCAGAGGATCCCTGGTCCCTGACTGGTGACTTGCCCCAGCTTTTAGATGAGTA